TATTTTTAATTGAATTTTAAAATAGATTAGTATATTCTCTTTTTGAAAGCCATTAATAGAATTTTTTTTAATTTTTTAAAATTAAAAAAAAAATCAAGAAATTAGATATGGGTTTTGAAACTGTAGTAAGACTTTCTCTTATAGATAGATATAAATATAGATAAAAAATTTTAAAAAGATTTTTGTAATTTTTAAGATTATTTATTTATTTTTTGGGTGAGAATAAGCGATTTGAAAATTTATTCTAAACAAAAATTATGTGTATAAAAGATATAAATATATGTGCATAATAAGTCAATCTTTCAATATTTGAAATTTGACATCTTTGTTTTCTTATTCTGATGAATTGCTTCCTATATTTAATAGCAAAACAAATATGTATTTTGAATATTTTCCTTTTAAAAACCATAAATTTTCTTATTCTGGGGAATTGCTTCTTATATTTAATAGCAAAACAAATATGTTTTTTGAATATTTTATTTTTAAAACATAAATTATGGACTAATTAGACTTTTATTTTTATATGGTTAAATGGAAGTTGGTCAATAGAGATTTTCTTAATTATTTAAATTGAAAAAATAAGAAATTGAGTTTAAGCATGTAAAGCTCCTACATCTCTTCTTATCAGAAACCTCATTTTTCTTAATATATAGTAGAGATGTAAGGAGAAAACTTCAAGGAGTATATTTCTAATTTTCTCATTTCTTAATCCCCGATGAGAGAAGTCATTTTTTGAGGAGAAACAATGTGTTTTTGTGATTTATGTGCTCTATCGTTATAAATACTTTTTTAATTAGGGGCACTTACCCATTCGTATTCTCAGCAATCAATGTGTATATTATTGAATAATCTCATTTTTCAATTATTCAACCATTTCATTGAACTTACCATTTCATTTTACCAAGTTCAATGTTAGTTAGATTAGTCAACATTTATATGTTTCGTTGCAACAAGATGTTATTTGTAACAAGTAATTTGAAAATTCTACTAAAATTAGAAATATAAATAGAATTTTTAGTTTTTGTTTAGACCTATGCTTAGGAAGCATTATTGTCCCAAGATGTCTTTTTTAATATTTGTCAAATACATCAATTTTTTTAATTAACACAGTTGGGGAAAGATAATAACTTAACCCCTAATTTGCCTCGGTGTGTTCTACATCTATATCCTTAACAAGATGTCTTAAACTAGGTCTAAGAATGCCTAGAATGGGATGAGGATGCAAAGATGTGACCAGAAAACAGTTTCAGAATTTTCAAAAAAACAGAGTCCTGCTCGAGCGCAGGTTTACCCGCTCGAGCGCAGGTTTACCCGCTCGAGCGGACATGCAACAAAGGTACACGCTCGAGCGTCAACTCTCCCGCTCGAGCGTACTGTAAAAGTACTGGATGGGTGAATTCTCCGCTCGACGGGCGCTCGACGCCCGTTCGATCGTGAGACACATGCCTCCGCTCGAGCTCCCAATCCTTCGCTCGAGCGGACTGTAAAATAGTGCAGAGAAATACTGGATGCTCGGATTCCACGCTCGAGCGCCAATTTCCCCGCTCGAGCGGAAGTGCAAAATCCTGGGAATTCCAGATTGCACCTCCAAGCCAAAACCAGGTTCAAATGCATCAAAACCAATCCTCTTGGGCCCATTTTTCTGGAAAACCTTTATATACACATGGAATAACATGGTTCAAAGCTCAATTTGAGAAATCAAAGCCCAAGGGTGTTTAATTCAAACTCAATTTCAAATCAATATCAAGAACAATATGAACATGCAAACATATATGAATTTTAAACAACTTCAAAGTTCAATTTGATGCTTTAAAGGAGCCGATTGATCCAAAAACAAGTTGAAAACATGGACTATTACAAGGTTATGGACATGCATGTACCATTTTACCATGAAATCAACTCACAACTCAACAATTCAAACATGCATGCATGAAATGAGCTTCAATTCACCATTAATTAACCAATTCAAGACTTAGCTCTACAATTAGACATGAACCATGCATGAATCAACTTAAAGACAAAATCGAAAAGATGAAATTCATACCTAGGTTCCTTGCATGCAAGTCTAGAGGTTCAATTATGCACTTAAGCTTTCAATTCCTCAAGATTCAAGCCAAATCTCTATGTTGAATTCACTACTCTCCCTTCCTCACTCTCTAAGGTCGGCAAGAGCTCAAACAAGGCTGAGGAAATGTTTTGATTCAAGTGTGGTGTAGCTCAAAGGTGTATAGGTAGTGGCCCACTCAAGGGCAAAGTTGTAAATGAGTCAAACTCTGCAATTGGTCAATATTTAATCTAATTTAATCATACCTAATCAGTTTTCAGATAATTACACCGTAAAATCACATTAATTATGATGATCATAAAACATCAATCAATTCCCGGTTCGGCCCCCGATAAGGCCTTCAATTAGCAGTTTAAACATAAAACGTGAACAGATCAAATAATCAATCAAACAAATAGAATACAAATTAACACACACACTCAGTCAATTCAATTCTAGTTTTCAGTCAGTCAGTTCAATTCAGTACTTTAATCAGCTCAGTTATCAGTCATGATCAGTTCAGTTTAACGGTAATCAGTGTTTATCGATAAGCAGTAGTGAGGGTTATTACAACTACACTCCCTGGAGCTTGTGCAATGATGGGGAAGGTGGTCATGTACACATATGTTGAAAATATTTTGCCATGCCCCTTTCTCGCTCTCTGTTGCAGCAAACCGGAAACCAGTAGCAAAAACTGGTCAGCAGCCTTCTGGAGATTTATACAGTGTTCTGGGACCAGTTGCAAACAGAGGCAAATCAAGGCATCGCGATGGATTTCCCGACAAGGCGACTTGAGCATGCATGCATTCCTATCATTCGGAACAAAGCTGAGGTAGTTCATTTTGTTTAATTTCCATGCTAGTTTCCTTACTTACTTAGTTAATTCGTTAATTAATTAATGTTGTGTAATAATTAGTTTAATTAGCTAATTTATTATGAGGGTAAGACTTGGGGATTGGGAGAAATTAATAAATGCTAAGGTTTTTTTTTTTAAAATCAAAAAATCAAAAAATTTAGATTGGGAGATTGGAGCTCCCACAAGGCTTGGGGTTAAAAATCCCCTTTTGCTTAATATATAGTATTAGCCTATCACACGTGCTATGCACAGGATAATTGCAGATATTTATATTTGTTTTAATTTTTTTAATATATAAATTATGTTTTTAAAGATTTTTCATAAAAATAATTTAACAATTTTATCGCTAACCATAGTGTACATGAGAAATTAAAAAGGCTTCTGCAGTAACTATGCACAGGCTGTATCTATAATTATTTTTATGAGGGAATTTTAAATGTTAATCAGAAATTTTGACCAAATCAATAAATGAAGGCATGTGGATTGAAAAAAGTTAATAAATGCTGATAAGGGGATTTTGACTAAATCAATAAATGTTGAGTTTTTTTTTTTTTTTTTTTTTTTTTTTCAGAGTTTTTTTTTTAAATCAAAAATTTAGAAAATTAAGATTGAGAGATTGGAGCTCCCACAAGGCTTGGGGTTTAGAAATCTCATTTTTCTTAATATATTTACAATTATCTATATATGTGAATTGCGATTTTTAAATTTTTTTTAAATGTCTTTATTTTTTCCCTTTTTTATATTATATTAAAGTTTAATATTTTGATAATAATCATATGTGTTGGACTTTTAAGAAATTTTTTTTTATGCTTGCTCTTAATGCATTAAAGTGTTATTATGAAGGATAATTATTATATGTATTGGGACTTTTCAAGGAATTCATATTTGTTGGATTTCAAAGAAATTTTTTTATGCTTGTTCTTAATGCATTAAAGTGTTATTATGAGTATAAGACTTGGGGGTTGAGAGAAGTTAATAAATGCTAATTTTTTTTTTCATCAAAAAATTAGGAAATTTAGATGCTTGTTGGAATGCATTAAGAAATTTTTTTATGCTTGTTCTTAATGCATTAAAGTGTTATTATGAGTGTTAATATTTTGATAATAATCATGTGTTGGACTTTTCAAGAATTTTTTTTTATGTTTGTTCTTAATGCATTAAAGTGTTATTATGAGGGTAAGACTTGGGGATTGGAAGAAATTAATAAATGCTAATGTTTTTTTTTTTTATAAATCAAAAAATCAAGAAATTTAGATTTGGAGATTGGAGCTCCCACAAGGCTTGGGATTAAAAATCCCTTTTGCTTAAGGGTCTGGCTTTAGTCCAGTCCACGATCGGACTGGACCGTGCTGTTGGGTCCGTGGAGGTTCACCATAGATTCCGTTTTGAAAATATGAACCATTCAATATGTAGAACTCGTCGAGTACTATATGCCTATAAAAAATCACGTTGATCGGATATCGATAGCTATGTGATCAAATCAGTTTTATATAAAAAAAATGGACGGTGAGTAAATTAACAGTTGACAAAAAATTATTTTGATCACATAGCTATCAATATCCGATTAACGTGATTTTTTATAATTACATAGTACTCAACGAGTTCTACATATTTAACGGTTCAGATTTTCAAAACGTGACCCATGGTGGGCCTCTACGGGTTCAACAGCACGGTCCAGTTCAATCGTGGACTGGACCAAAGCCAGACCCTTTGCTTAATATATAGTATAGATATATAATAGATAGGTTTATTTTTAATTACACTTTTTAAATAAGTGTGATTATATATTTTTCAATCATACTCCCTAAATAAGTGTGATGGTATAAAATATTTTAATTTAAATTTTATATAAAATAATATTCCCAAATTCGTGCCTATTCTCCTTGCCTTCTGTTTTTAAAATGAAGTCCTAATTCGTTTTTTTCATCACAGCTCCGAACCATTGTTGAAGTTATTCACTCAAATCACCACTGAAGTTTGTCTTTTGAAATCAAAAATCTCTTAAAATTTATGGTGAGTTTTTTTTATTTTTATACCCTTTTTTTGTATATATATATTTATAATTATGATTATTATTAATGAAATTTTATAGATATAGATTTTCAATGTGAGTGGGGACTTGGGTGGTAATGATACGGGTTCTATAAATCAAAGTTGAAATTTCCAAAGTTGAAAATTCCAATTTTTTTTGTAATTAATATCGTTGAAGTCGCAGTTTTTGCATTCTTACACGTCTCTCTCTCTCTCTCTCCGTCCAGCGGGTATCTCACACCACCAATCACCACCGATTACAGTCCCTCCGATAACCACCGATATCTTCCGACTTGGAGGTCGATTCTGATTTTGAGCTCCTTCCGCGGATTTTTTTTCCTTTGTGAGTTTCTAGGACTGATCGAAGGAAGATTCGCTCAGGTCTGTCTCTACGCTATCTTTCTTTCGCGAATGTGACGCATTTGTATACATTTTGATGTATTGTGTTGATAAATCCTAATGTTGCCTCAGATTCTTTGTTTTATAGTTCAGTCCTATCATCTGTGCAATTAGGGATACAATAATTCAAGGTTTTTATAAAAATCGTCGAGTGCCTCTCAATGATTGTTTGTAATTTTCTTGTGCTTTATATCTTTGGGAATCATGAAGAAGAAAATAGCAATTCTGAAATATATATATTCCAGAAATTCACTCAATTTCTAGAGAGCTTGACAAAAAGTTCTTAGTCTTTAAAATTTTCAATTCAATTTTTAATTTGTGTTAAATTGTTTGAGGCCTGAATTTTTTGATCTTTATGTAGTTTAAATCATGTTTATAAGATGGAATGAAAAGAGGCTTTAGTAAAGCAAAATCATAGTTATTTTGGGGGTGACTTTTATTGATTGTGCAAAATTGAAATTGTGTAGAGGCCTGACTCTGATGAATTTTTAAAAATAATTCTCTACCTCATAATTTGATCAGGTTTTGAGTATGTAAAACCTGGGAAAATTTATGTTCAGCCATGGGTACAAAACTTATTAGGGGCAGACATCTCAAGGATTCTAAAATTTGGGTGTTAAGAAAGGCATGTCCTGATTTGTTCTGTTACAAATGGTCCTGGTTAAAAATTTGAAAACTAGTCATTAAATGCTTTTTTGTACTGGTGGTATTTTGCTTCGACATTTGTTGAGTGATCGCAACCTGAATGGTATAACCCATGTGTTCGTTGATGAAATTCATGAGCAAGGCATGAATGAAGGTGCAGTTCCTAATAATTTTTTCTTTTCATCTAGGTTTTGCACAAAAGCATTCAATATCAATTATTAACACTATTTTTTTGTTCATCAGACTTCCTATTGATTGTGTTGAAGGATCTTCTTCTGTGACGTCAAGATTTGAGATTGATTTTAATGAGTGCTACTTTAAATGTTGAGTTATGTTCCAATTATTTTAGAGGAGCACCAACAATCCACGTTCCGGTAAGCTGAAACTTGAGTTTGTTGTAGTGTATTATGTTTTCTTTCTTGGTTAGTGCTGTTTCTTGAACTGATTATGGTGTTGGTGTTTGGGCATGGTGTACCCTCTTTCCCAATTTGACCTTTAACTGAAATTGGAAATCGCACGGGAAACTTTATATAAAGACTGTTAATGCAAACAAATTTTAGAAAACTTTTTTTGGATACCACTGTACGGTTTCTGAAACATGAGTTGCATGGTTTATTGCTTTCTGGAGCCATTTTGTTTTTCTTCTTAGTTATTTTTTATTTTTGTAATGATAAAATCATGTAATATTAACTTATTTACAACTTGAGTGAGGTTGGGCATCTGATTTGGTTAAAGTGGCTAATAACATGTCAATTTAATTTCCCACTTTTCTCTGATATTGCTGCATTTAGTTGAGATAAGATCTGAAAAATATGCACTTTGCAAGTGGGGAAGAATTTGTTCATTTGATCTTTTTGCAATTGACGTGAATTATATTTTGTCTATATTTAGGGTTTTACATACCCAATGAAAGCACACTTTCTGGAAGATGTATTGGAAATGACTGGATATAAGTTGACTTCTTTCAACCAAATTGATGATTATGGTCAAGAGAAGATGTGGAAAACACAAAGACAGCTAGTGCGATGGAAAAGGAAAAATCAGATCACTGCTCTTGTTGAGGTATTGCACTATGCTCAAATTCACTCTCAAAATTCAGTTCCTACCTGGAATTCATTTCTAAGTTATGGCATCTAGCATAGGTAACTCTTGTATTGTGCCCAATGGAATAGCAAGAGCTAATGTAGAGAGAACATCAAATCTCAGCAACTAATGTCTCTAGCATATTTAATTCAGCCTCTCATGTTTTCCTGTAATCCATGGACTCTCTATTGCAACAATGAGAAATCGAAGTGTTTGTTCAGCAATGTCTTTATGCATGATGTGGTATTAGTTAAATATTAACACACCATTTGGTATTTAAATTCTGTATCTAAAGGTACTAGGGATATCAAATCTATTACAACTTTGAGCTGTCGGATAATGAATTTCATTTGAGTTACATACAATTATTTGTTATTTGTCTAGTATAAATTGACATGTCCCCTATCCATATCTGTCATTGCTTGGCATAGTCAATCTAATTAGAAAAAGAAACTTTTTTTTTTCCCTTGTAGAGAACCTTACGTTTAAAATTGATGTATTGAGAAGTTGTCATTATTCTTGTTTTTGCATTGTGTTCATGAATTCAATCCTCGATGTTAGCTATGTCAGCTGTATATGGAGTAAAGTTATTCTTATTATAAATAGCAATTGCAATATGCATATCAAACTTGTGTGCTGCCTTAAATTTTCAATTATTCAGGTTCTTGTGGTGCCAAAATGCCACTTCTGCTATTTCAAGTCACTGCAGAAGCTTCGATGTATTTGAAGAAGATGAAGTAATAAAGCTGCCGGGAAATATGACAATGCCTCTATTAATTACCAGATTGAGTTCTATAAAAACGAGGGTTTAACACCATATTTCCTATAACTAGTGGCAGGTGCATGATTTACAAGTCTGTTTTTTGCATATTTTTATATCTCGAAAAATGAGTTTTCACTTCGTGTCTGACTTTCTGCAGATGTTCCTGAAGGCTGTGTGATTATAAAGAAACACATTCCCATCACCAATTTGTTCACCTGTCTATGGTTCAATGAAGTCGATCGTTTTACTTCCAGGGATCAGTTGAGCTTCTCCACTGTACAGGACAGAATAATGGCCGAAGTTAACTGGAGCGTTGATATGTTTATGGAGTGTAAAAGGCGAAATTTCGTGATTCAGGTAGTAATTTATTTATTACTATATATGTGTATTTGTCCGTGTTCTCTTCAATATAATAGACTCATACATATAATATGTTGAAAGTGTAATATCACTGCTTTGTCAACTTATATAGTTTTCATAGTAAAGGCCATCATATGTTCATAACCAACTTGATATGCTGATAAAACAATCATTTCAATTGATGATAGAGCTTGTCTCCAATCAAACAGTTTTGTTGGTGGAGTTCAATAGAAATTACGATATTGTTGGAGCATTCTGAACACCCACAATTCTGATTTTCAGACCTTTTGGTGTACTTGTATTTACACAAATGATTTTGTTGGGTTTATTTCATTTATTTTTTTCAATCCTAATTTGTTCTAATTTTTACAGCTCTACAGTTTTAAGTGGAGCGAGTACTATGTGTCCGAGATTGCCTTGTCGGTAATAAATTTAAATTCTTTTTGCATTAAATAAAATCATTATGTCTCCTTTTTGTGGATATCTTTGTATATAGTAATTGTTCTCTCTGAAGTTATCTTTGATTTTACTAATTTTTTTTCATGAAGTTTATGTTTGGGTCTTTTTGAAACTTCTTGTTCATTCCTAATGTCTGTTGGGGTACATAACAAACATTTGAAAGCAGCAGCTGCTAAGGTGGCAGCTTTAAAGAGATGGAAAAGGTACCTTGTGGAAAAATGTTATGTTAATTATGTTATTCGTTGGTACTCTTTAGAAGCATTTATTTTTTGAGAGTGAAAAAGCATATTTGCTTTCAAAATTAAGCGAAGTACTTTAAAATTGTAATTAATAGAGGCGTGAAGTTTTAAAGTGAACTATAACTGGACAACTTAACCCTTAGCCCCCCTCCATTGGATTTTCCCTTAATCCACCTCTTGATCTTTACACTGTTATGTAGCATAGCCTATATATAGTTCTTTCTTTCTAATGTAGTAAATTTTAGTGTTCCTAACTAACATAATTACAACTTTTATTATTTGTTTAGCCTCTTTTTGTATTCAGTTTGGTTTTAAAAAGTCCTCCAATATGGTAATATAATTTCAATGGATTTAACTTAATTCCTATGTTTGATCGGTCTCTTATATATTTATTTTTATTTTTTATTTGTATTGGCAAACAAAATTTGAGAGTTACATTGAAAATTGGAGCAAAGTTAGAGAGATCAATTGAAAATCTATGGCTTCTACATAGATTGTTCTCTCCCTCTCTCTGATTGTGTACATGTGAATTTTCATGCTTGTAGATGTCACTAGTTGGATTAAGGTTTGCATGTCCTATTGGGTTAAAGTAACTAAAAACATATTAGTAGTTTGTGTTAATAAGTTGCTATTTAATATTCATCAAGAAATTAATTTATTTTATGTGAAAATGGGGATAGAGCAATCAATTTATTAATATTTCATTTAGAAGCAGGTGCACCTTAAGGTCGAAGGCACTTGATGAAAGATCAAGCTCTATGACTATATTGTAAATGGGTGGTCATTTTCTTCTCTCAATTAGGTAATTCTTATCTTGTATATCTTCTTCTTATCAATAAATTCTCTTTTGTTGAAAAAAAAAAAAAAAAAAAAAAAGTTAGCTGAAAAATATGTTGACTATCCAATTTTATTATTCTTTGACATGTGCCGCTACCAAGAAATTATTTTGTAGTCAAAGTACATAAAACATAATAATTACATTATCTCAATTATTTTGATCCAAACACACATCTTTGTTTATTTTACCTTTAGCCTAAAATTATTTCTAAAGAAAAGGCAAATTTTGCCTTTGAATTAATTTGTGTTTTCATTTTTTAGGTCAGAAATTGCTTGGAGAGATGCAAAATATGGTCAAAGAATTCAAAGACCTTGTGCTTCAAGTTTTTTCATTTTTTTAATATATGTAACCACAGTTAAATTTTTTTTTATTAATTCCTTTGTATATACCTTTGAACATTCAACTTTCATTTATCAAATATATGACGCTATTCCATTCAATATGTGGTTGTAATTAGTAGGTAGTATGTATTACATTATTCAAATGTGTACAAAAATAATATTGATTATTCTTCAAATATGTCGATTCTTTTTTTATCACATGCATTAACTGTAATGAGTAATGTAGATAACTCGTGACCTTGTAACATTATTAATTATATATTTTATTAGATATTAATCACGCTTAAAATATGTTATTTAAATGTTTATTATCACATGTTTTATTAGTTATACATCACACATAAAAAGTGTGATCTAAATGTTTATTATCATACGTAAAAAGTGTGATTTAAATATTTATTATCACACGCATAACATGTAATGAAATCATCTTTTAATGACACTCAAAACGTGATTAAAAATAACACTTTCAACTATTACACTTTGACAAAATTTAAAATTTGTGATTAAATAACATACATCACACATAAAAGGTGTGATCTGATTATGATTTTGTAGTAGTAAGTATTTAAGTTATTAACTCAATGTAAGTGCACAGAAAATGTCTAAAATATAATTTTTATTGAGTTTAATAATTAAAATACATTTTTTCTCTTGATTTTATATAACGAAAACAGGTAAATATTTTACATCGAAACAAATCAAAAATTTAAAATTTAAATTAACAATAAAAAATTTAGAATTTATTTTGTTACAAAGGTGAATTCCTAAGATTTTGTTTAATAATTTTTCATTTTTTTTAAATTTTAATTCAACCACTTTAGTGATACAATTTTATATTTATTATAACTCTTGTATCTACTCCTATAATTGACCTATCCTATCAATGCTCTTCCAAACCATTTCTATTAGAATCAAAGTTAGACAAAATGCAGGATCGGGTAATTTTTTCATCAATTAATTAGCCTTCCATATTTTTCGCAATTCAACTTTTGAGCTCTATTACATGTATCAATGCATCAACTTACAACCACATAATTTCATGATGGCCACATATATATATATATATATATATATATATATATATATATAAAGTTAATCGATGATAAGTTCAATTTAAAGAGGCAGTAAGATATTAGGTTTATTGATTTATTTTATTTTTGTGTTGAGAAATACATTCTTTGTGCAATATATTTTGTTTTCAATTTTACCGTTTTAATTTTTATTAACACTTATCTGTTGAAATTTTTATCCTATCTGTTGAAATTCAATCTATATAAAATTTCTATCTGTTGAAATTCTATTTGTGTAAAATTTCTATCTATTGAAATTTTATTTATGTGAATTTCTATATGTTGAAATTCTTGTCCGAATTTTTATCTGTCCAAAATTTATCTGTTCAATATTTTTATCTATACAAAATTTCTATCCAAATTTTATTGTCCAGTTCGCCAAGTTTCTTTTCCATATCTGTTGAAACTTCCTAAACCTATTTTTCTTATTTTTAACCTATCTGTTGAACACAAAACTAGAAAAACAATATTATCTATTGAAACCCCAAACGTTAATCCTTGCTACCCCTCTCACTCGTGTCACCACCCTCCTTAACGGTCTCTAAGTTACCACTAAGTCAACCATTTGCCTCCAAGACCGCCACTGTGAGGAGAGGAGTCCTCTTGCTATTACAGACAAAGTAGAACCAATAGAGAGAGAAAGAGAGACTCACTCACATCACACACACACATACACACAACACATATACACTCCCTGTAAAACTCTCTGAAATTGCGGCAACCTTCAAAGCCATTAATGCAACTTCGAGTCCTTTTCCTTCGATCTCCATCAACGGTCTCAAATCTGTATCAACGGCCTCTAATCTACACCACTGTGAAAAGATCGGCCTCGTCTGATATTGTTTTTAGGATTTCTGCAGCAATTGTGGACGCTCTGTTGAGTCCCATTGGCAAGAGCCACGATAGCAACGATGATCAGAGAGTGAGAAAGATAGAGGAGAAATGTCGTTCATTTACGAAGGAAGAGAGAGAGAGAGAGAGAGAGAGAGAGAGAGAGAGAGAGAGAGAAAGATAGGGAGAGAAAGATGCACTAAATCGTGGATGTCCTAGAAGACAGATCTGTTTGAGCGTAAACGAGGACAAAGATATGTGTTCTCATGCCAGATCGACCTGAGAAAGATGAAAAGAGAGAGAATCCCCAAATAAGAGATTAACAGAAAGAAGAAAAGAATGAGGAGGATGATGAGAGAAAGAGAGAGTTTTGGGAAATTGGTTTTGAACAGATAGTGCTTGTATGTTTTATAGGTAGAGTGGGTATTTTGATCATTTTGTGGGAATTTGTCTTTGTGGACTTAATGTTTTAGTGCGTGAACTTTTAGACCCCACATCCCCTCCCAAAAAATAAAAAAATCTAAATTTGAACTTATCACCTGGGCGCCCTATTATTTGTCATAATTTTTTATCAACTTATTTCATGCTATTATGATGATTATATTGTTGTATCATAATTTATTTATCTACAAAACTCCCCTCCTGTTCACAAATGTGGACTAGACTGTCCAATTTGAGCCAGAATAGACCCTACTTCCATAATTTGATTCGCTTAGTTTGTAGGTTGTTTGTCCATATATAGAAAAAAAGAAAAAAAAATTGATCTGAAAATTATATTCATATTTTTTATTCATGTATTCATTACTTTTTTTTACAAAAATTAATTTTCTGAGTTTTCAATTTGTAATTTTGTATGTTTAGTGTTTTTTTAAAAATATTTTAGTTAATTTTTTTTTTAAATTTTTAAATCTACTTAATTTTGATATACTTAGAAAGTATTTTTACAAAAAATTTAAAAAATTCATTGAATACAACAAAATACGAAAATGTACTTTTTTATAAAAAAAAATTTGTATTCGTGAATATTATACTTTTCAAGTGTATTTAAATTAGGTATATATAAAAACATTAAAAAATTACATTAAATATTTTTAAAAAATCACTAAAAATAAAAAACTTAATTTTCAAAAAAACAAAGATAACAAAACAATGATCTTGCAAGTTGTAAGATTAGATGCTTATGGAAGGGGAGTTAAACCCCCAACCTTCTTTTTGTGGCAAACATCAAAGTGCTACCTCCATCTTGAAAGGCAGCAGTCACAAAGCAACAATAGAGCAGAAGTAGCCACAGCAGCAGAGCAGCCACAACATGGCAAAGTTAGAGCAGCAGCTTTAGCAATCACGTGTGAATTACCAAGGCTAGGCAGTTAGTTTGTTAGAGATTAACTATAGTTTAGTTAAACGATTATGGTTAGGTTAAGTGTAGCAATCTTGTATATACTATCTCCTTAGTGTAATAGATTCATTCAATAAAAAATCAATAAAGTTGATATCTTCTTGTTTTCTCTATATGGTATTAGAGCATTAGGCTCTTGCTTCGATCCTTCAGAGTAGTTCATCAATGGCTTCTCCAAACACCATAGCTGCAGCACCATCATTCTTTTCTCCATCTGCACCGTCTTCTTCTTCTTCTATGTCTTCATCTATCACACTGCCTTCAAATCTCACATTATTAATCTCAAATTTTAGTCCCTTTGTCATTACAAACTTGACTCATCAAATTACATAGTCTGGAAAAGTTAGTTGCAGAATATCTTGCGAGCAACAAAGCTTCTTGGTTATGTGGATGGATCTGAGGTATGTCCTCCATTAGTTGTGTTAGATTCAAACAATCTTGAAGTCTTGAATGCAAATTACACCTTATGGAGCACCATTGGTGCTCACCTCTGTGATTCATTGTCAAACTAGTCAAGAAGTCTGGAGTGTCAAGAGATTTACCTCTCTTTCAAGATCTCACATCTATCAATTGAAGAATAAACTGAATAGAATTGTTAAGAAAGGATCCACAATGAAAGAGTATTTGAATCAGTTCAAAATAATCTCAGATCAGCTTGCCTTGGCTTCATCACCTGTTGATGATGAAGATTTAGTCCTCTTAATCTTGAATAGACTACTTGAAGAATAAGGCTTTAAAAACCACCATACGAGCTAGGTCAGAACCTATCTCCATGGATCAACTAAGTGCTTTACTTTGTTCAGAATCTATCCATGTTGAATCTGCTCTCAAGCATGCACATGCTTCAGAAATTCCAAGTTACTTTGCCAACACTACTTAAAGGAGTAACTATTCTCATAGAGGAGGTCCTAGAGGCTCGTATAGGGGCAGAGGTGCTTTTAGAGGCAGAGAAGGGGGTAGATTTCGAGGTCAGCATAGTCAGTTTCAGAATCAGAATCAGAGAGGTGGAAACACTCAATTTCAGAGAGGCAGAGCTACAGCAGGCTACAATACACATACAAGCAGTCATAGCTACAATACAAACAGTCCTATTGTGACCTGTCAAATTTGTGGAAAAGGAAATCACACTGCTCTAGACTACTAGTACAGACTAGATGCAACTTTCTAGGCTCCATCTCAGAACCATTACTCTAGTCCTTCATCCTCTACAAGTCATCCTGAGGCCTATGTTGCAGCCAACACAGTTCCACAATCTGAAGCCAGTTGGCTTCTTGATTCTAGAGCTACAACTCACATGACACATGATCTGAATAACCTCTCTCTATATCAACCTTTTCATGGCTCAGATCAGGTAGTAGTAGGTGACACACTTCTAATTCTCATACTGGTAAAGGACTCCTTCCAACTCCCTCATTTTCATTCCAACTTAATAAACTACTTCATGTTCCTACTCTTTCTTCAAATTTACTTTCAGTTCATCAATTAGCCATGGACAACCATTGTACTGTTACTTTTGATGAAAATTCTTTTATTGTCCAGGACAAGAGTACTCAAAGAGTCCTATATAGGGGCTACTACTCAAATGGACTATATCCATTCAATCCATCCTCTGATTCTACTGCATTCTCAAGCTTGCCTCTCCTGCTCCACTAC